ATTCTACATTGCCCTGACACTGGGTTTGGTATTCTTATCATGTCCCTTCTCCATTCTCTCTCCACTAGCCTCAGTCTCCCCAAGGTTTTGTTAAGAATCTGAAGTTTAGAGGTCAGCCTGACAGCATGTCGTCCTGTCCCCTCACCCCAAAAGCATCAGGGAGATACTGTTCAGATACTGCAGCTCTGAGCTGGAAAATGCCAGACAGAGCTACTAGTCAGAGTCTAAAGGTAAAAGAGGCTCTTGCCTGAGTAACCCACATCACTGCACTGAAGAACTCCTGGATATAGTAGATGGTCATGAAAAACTGCTCCACCCTTCTGTCTATGAGCTGGACCTTTACATCCTAAGAAGCCACATGACCCTCCCTAACTCAGTCACTACCCAGACTGTGCATCTGCTGGTGAGCTTTGGGACTACCAACCTGTGATTTGGGGGGGGGGGGGGGTTGTTTTTTGTTTTGTTTTGTTATTTTGTGATGGTCTCTGCACAGTGCATCTTATGCAGACCTTTCTTTCCCCCCGTCCCTTAAATTAATAACCACAATTTCCTTTACTTAAGGGATAACAACATCAGGTCTCACTGTAACTTGGTGCCTATCAATGCCTTGTCAATATAATGATGGTTCAAGCTATTTAGCGGCCTATTAGTTCAACTCAAAAGAGATGGCAAGCCTAGCCTTGATCTTACACACAGCAAGCTCTCAGTAATGCTGGGTGAACTGGAGGCTACGGCTAGGAGTCACCACCTTATCCTGGCTCTGCGGAAGGAAAACGTCACCACGATCCAGACAGGCACTTTAGTAACGAGGCACAGAGATCCACTCCAACATATCGAAGAAAACTCAGACAAACAGAAATACAAGACAGAAAAACAGAAGGGAGTCTCAGAAACAACGTGCAGGAGGCAGACCAGAGGTTCAGACCAACCAGAAGCAGCTCTGGGGCCACGTGATTCCTCTGTGCCTCCCTTCTTCACCGGAAAGTCTCTACTGAGCCTTTTCCACTTTCCCCACTTGGGTTCAAGTAATAATGGCGGCCTCCCTTTATAACTCAGAGAAAGTTTATTGGCTTGTCTCGAGGGAGATAGGAGTGAGCTTCTACCTACCACCTTCACCTGAGGCGGATGACAAAAGCCAGGACTGCTACTGTAACCACCGAACACAGGTTATGCCGGGAGATGGGACGTCTCAAGGAAGGGGCGTTCACCTGTAAAATTCCATTGCGACGCCTTTACTTAAGACAACTAACAGGACGGTATTTCATAGCTATAACTCAGTACATATGAAAATACAAACACAGCTGGGGAAAACGAGGGTTTGTACATCAAAAGAAATGAGTTCAAGCCACATCTCGCTTGAAGCCACAGCCTGAGAAGTGCGGTTGAAGGCAGGAAATGGGGCACTGGAACAATGTCTGGAGCTATGACAACAGTCAAGTTCCTTCATTTTAATGTGAGGAAGGCCTCTTAGCCTCATCAGATACTGTTCACTACTTGCCACAAACTGGATAGTCACGTGACTCCCCAAACACACGGAAAACCACAGGAAGGCGGCTAGAGGCTGACACGGAACTAGTAGCAGGAACTGGTGAGAGGAAAGGAAAACCAAAAAGACACTCTAGAATCCAAAGAGCAAACACTCAGCAGACAGGGAATTTCACAAACTTGGGTATGACACAAAAGAGTTAAAAATATAATGATGGCCCTGAAGAGTCTTTTTCAACATACTCCTTTTTTACAAAAGTAAGAAATGCATACAAAATTAAGAGAAAATTTTTGATATAAATGTTTTTTTTTTAAAGACGTGGAGTTTAAAAGAACGGATTCAAATTGCTTATACTATGTGCCCCACAATGTCTGAGAAATGGGATATTAATACATGAGCACTGCCGAAACAATACACAAAGTAATGTATATGAAAAGAACATAGTATCTCTTCCATACGCCAATGGCTGAAAAGATAAGAACCCTCCCTGGTGAAAGCATTAAATCACAAAGAAGCCACTTAAGCTGGTGTCTCTCCTCCTAAGAACCTTAGACAACTGGTTTCCAACCGATCACCTGCACCGATTAGTGGATTCAAGCGGTGCCAAAGCTTCTTAAACGGCAGGAAACAAAACCAGGACCAAACACTTTCTTCATCTGTTTTTCTCAAAACGTAGTATGTGTTGCAGAACCACAAATGCCTTACAGAACTTGCCTGGAAATGTAAATCCAGAGTCCCAGCTGGGTATTACAAGAAGGAGAGTCTGTGGCGAAGGAGCTGAGCTTACTATGCACTGTAGCAGAGCTCTGGGCGTGTCTAGACAGTCTCCACGTTGGGCACAGCCTCACCGTGAAGGTCGCCACAGCAAGGCAGTGAGGAAGCCAGCCAGATCTGTGAATGAAACTGCCCCATTCGTATGCTAGTGTGTCCAAGGCCACACTCCTACTCTGACATTTCTTATGCAACGCCTTAGATGACAAAGTACACACTTGGATAATATCTACACATTTTTTAAAACCTAAAAAAAAAAGTCCTAATTACTTATAAAAAGACTAAGACTTTTAAAGGATTTATTTATTATTATTACTTAGGAGTATCAGTGTGTTCGTGTGAATAGATGTCGTGTGTATAAGGGTAACCCTCAAAGACCGGAAAAGGGCATCCCCTCCTCTAGAGCTGAAAATATGGAGGTTGAGAGCCTCCTGATGTGGATGCTGGGAATCAAACCCGGGTTCTCTGGAGCAGAAAGTGTTCCTAACCACTAAGCCATCTCTCTAGGTCCAGCCCTGGAATATTTTTATGAATATTTAATTTTTCTTTGTTAAGGTTTTCTTGCTGACACTGGGGGCTGGAGGACGCGGGGGAAGCACGTGAGAGCAGTGCCCGCCAAGGCCAGAAGGGAGCACTGAATCACCCGGAACTGGAGTTCCACATGTTTGTGAGCTGGGAACCAAACTCCTCCGGAGGAGAACTTCTTGCTCTTAACTGCTGAATCTGTATCAAAGAAATGGATGCCTGAAACGGGAAGCGACGTTGGCTGAGGAAGAGCGCTTGACACAAGTTAAGAGAATTACTTGGAAACAAAAAACGAGAATCATCTAGAAGCCATCTTGGCAGAAAGGCAGAATGCAGCTTATGTCTAAAGTTAAAAAAAAAAAAAAAAAAAAAAAAAAGCAACTACGATGTCTGGCTGAGATACTCAGGCCAGTTCAAACACCCTAGCAGCACGTGCTCAAAAGTACCAGCTGGCAAACATGCACGACAAACAGAAGAGTTTTTTTGTTGGCACATAAAAGTTAAAGAGTTAAAGGTTGCTGCTGCTCCTGCTGCTGCTGCTGCTCCTCCTCCTCCTCTTCCTCCTTCTCCTCCGTCCTTTCCCGAAAAGGTGAAATTGCAAGAACCACATAAAGCAGCCATGCGGCTAGCCTCAGCGGCTGGGGCTTAGCGGCAGCCCACTTGAAGCCAGACATGCGCGGCAGGGCCTCTGCCGTGGCCTCAGCCTGCTTCGCTCACTACAACAGCTGTCTGTCAGGACCAAACACTTTTGCGCCAGCCACCCCAGCTTCAAGGAATCTGGCACGAATCCAACCTCTCTCTGCCTCACTCTCTTAGGTGCCTTCCAGACTCTAATATAGGGCTCTTATCTTTGGATGCCCACTGGGCACAGCCAAGGAACTTTAAGGGCAATGAACTCAGGGTTCCATATTCAGGGATTCTTATTTCTTGGTCTGGTGTGCACCCTGGACCTCGAGATGAACTAAAGTGTCCCAAGTGACCTTCGTGGGTGGCTAAGGAAGAGAATTCTCTCCAACTTTGAGAGGACATGAGCTTTTTAGTGCCGAGGACTGTATTTAATCCATCAACCTCCAAGTAAAAATTTCTTGCCTCTCCCATCCACAATAATTCACTTACTTTTGGAAAAGGAAAATTATTCCAAATGCCATTTACAAGCTGGAAAACAAGGTCAAAATATGCTCCGATTTCCACCATTCATTTTCCCCTCCAACACAACAGAAAAGTAAAACGATAAGGAAATGAAGGGAAATTATCCCAGGAGACAAAACTCAAACAGCACAAATAGCTCAAACACAATAAGAGGAGTCTCATAGTGGCAGGCTTGAGTGAAAACGTACAATTGCTTTGAAATTCATCAATGCACTAAGCAGAAAAAAAGTTCAAATAGTAAAAAAGAAGAAAAGGGGGATAATTTCTTTAAGTCTTTTCAATAATGGCATAATTTTTATCTTAAGATGAATTCCAAATTATTACTTCTTTTCAAGCTTTCTGTTAGATGGTGTGCATTTATATTTTGGCTTCTCATCATGGGAAATGCAAACTAATGCCATCTAAATTTCAAACACTAATGCCATCTACATCACAGCTGAAAAGTGGATGCTGGGCTGGGTGTGCAGCTCAGTTGGCACAGGGCTTGCCAACATTTGCAGAACTCTGAGTTCAATCCTCAGCGCACCCCTGCAATCCCAGCACACTGGAGGTGGAGAAGCCCAAAACCGGTGCTCCTCAAACTAACCTACAGAGAGAATCATTACTCTGATTGCTGACTACTCCCACTTCACTGGTCAAAAACAGAACGGGATAGTCTGTGCCAAATCACGAAACAAGTTAGTGGGAGCCATAGCCAGACCCTGCATTAGGCGTATGCTCTCCATGCCACGTTCTCATAGAGGAGCAAGTAAGAGTTTGCACGCCACCTCCTAAACGCTGTACTGACTTACAAGATAGCTGACCACGGTATGCGTGTGGCTTAGCTTAACCATGGTATACATGTGCCTTAGTTTCACCACAGATCTGGCACAAGTCTTATTAGTCCAGCTTTCTGGAAAGAGGTACCAGGATGAACCTTTTTATCATTCCCAGAATCTTTTCCTGGATCCTACAAACACCGGCGCTGACAACATATGAGTACAAGGTACCATCCCCGCACCTTTATCCTTCTCCTGGCTGCCCCGACACCATCACAGAAAATCAGCAAGACATCTGGAGGAAGCATAGATGTCACCCGATATGCTTTTCCCCTTTATTCATAAAATTATAAAAAGACCATGTCATAAAATTCCACTTCTAATGAGACCTGATAGAGTAGGATCAGAAGGAAGGAGAGGAAGACCTCCACTATCAGTGGACTTGGGGAGGGGCATGTGTGAAGGAGAGGGAGGGAGGGTGGAGCTGGGAGGGGAGGAGGGAGGGGTTTACAGGGGATGCAAAGTGAATAAAGTATAATTAATAAAAATTAAAATTAAAAAAAAATTCCAGCTGCAAAGGTCTCCTCTTCATGAGTCCCATGGTTTGAAGCATGCTCCAAAAGGGAGTATTATTCTGTGCTCCAGGAAAAAGTCTCCTCTTCTCTAAGCCACTGACTGAGTCACGAAACCTGCATCCAGTAACCGTGCCTATGAGGTCATGGCCAAGAAGTGATTCTCAAGAAAAAGTAGACACAGCGGCAGCTTCCCTGAAAGAGAAAGAAATAGGCTTTATCACCTAATAAACACGTCTCAGCGATCAATACTTATTTGCCCTCTTTTCTGAAGCAACTCCCAAGAGTCACTTGAATTCTCTCACTACGGATAATTCTTGAAGAAATTGTATTCCTACCTCCTAATGATCTTCGAACAAAGCAAGCACCTCATTTTATTAAGTCCAGCTACCCAGAGGAGCCCTTTCAGAGTGGAGCTAAAAGTGAGGTCTTAATCACTCCAATGGGAAAGAAATCAACTGTGCTATCAAACCTCACCAAGCCAGTCTCCTGAATGCCAGTGGCAAGAACAAACAGATGTCGGGGCTATTTGTTTTATTCAGAAGTGACAGGAAATCAAAAATCCATCAAATAGACGTGTCAGCAGCAACACCACAGCATATTGCTTACTGAGGTTTATGTGCCTCCATTTTGGTTCAGGAGAAAATTACCTTTCAAGCTTTCTACATCTTCAAATGCCCAGTTGGACACACAGGTCAGAGAGGTCGTGGATGTTACCTCTAATGCTAGCCACCAGGAAAAATAAGGAAATATGCTACATGAATTTAAATCTTACCTTTTTTTGAGAAAGGGTTAACGTTATAGCCCTGGCTGGCCTGGAACTCACAGAGGTATACATCATGAGTGTGGGGATTAAAGGCATGTGATGTGAAAATATGGAATCATCCCTCATCTTGCACATTTGTGCAAACCTATAAATTGTCCTTTAAAGGCAGAGAACTGGGCTGGGGAGATGGTTCAGTGGATAAAGAACTCACTACACAATCATGAGGACCTGAGTTCGGATATCCAGGAACTGTGGGAAGTCAGACATAACGGCATGTGCCTCTCTCATCCCAGTACTCAGACACAATGGGCAATGGAAACAAGAGAGTCCCCAGATGCTCCCAGGCCTGGCACAGAGCAGAGCAAGAGACCCTGTCTCAAATAAGGTACAGGTACGAAGCAATACCTCAGAACATCACCCCCTTTCCCTTCCCTCCCTCCATCACACACATCTGTATTTATACATACAAATGCATGTGTACACATCACACATGAAAAAAACAAAAGAAAATGGAGAATGGCAAAATCCCAAAGTTGGCATAGTGACTAAATTATAAATAGTGCCCATACTTTACCGTGCTGCAGTGACACTGTCTGCGCTACCAGAATGCCCTACTTCTATCGCATGTGCACTGGACCTCTCTGGGTGGCTTCAGCGTCCACTGTCGATGGTAATTTAATTTCATTGTCGTTAGCATTTTAATATCTCTTCGTGCCTTAAGACAGCACTGTGCAAGTCATTAAGAAAGGGTATTAGCACAAATGCAGAGGAGAAAAACTGTCAAAACATTACAGAGCAGAGGTGTGATAGGACCACTGTTACAGTTTGAAAAGGCCATATAATCGCTACCACAATCCCTGATGTTAATTTATGAAACTGACTCAGGAGACAACAAAGTTTTCCCTTCTTGTTTCCAACAAACAACAGAAGGAGCATAAAGTAAGTAATTTAGGCTTCAAAGGTTGAGAGGTCTCTGTCAAAACTACAAGGCTGCTCTTGCAGCTTGGAATGCAACCAAGACTAAGTACAGCTGTGTTCCAATCAATCTTTATTTCTAAAAAGCAGTACCCTGGATGTTGCTTATAAGCTATAGTTTTGTGAACCCTGTTCTCTGTGTGATCTGTCCTACCCATTGTTATATTTTTATCTACTGTCTATTTTAGTTACCTGTGTACACGTGTGTGTGTGTGTGTGTGTGTGTGTACACAGCACAAGTGTGGAGATCATAGAACAACATGTGGCAGTCAGGACCCTCCTACTACCTGGGTCCACAAGACTGAACTCAGGTTATTAGGCTTGGGGTGAGCACCTTCCCCAGATAAGCCATCTTTTACGCCGTTATTTTTATTTTTGAAACAGGTCTCACTCCATGCCTGGCCTGCTTCTAAACTCTTAAAAATTCTGCCTCAGCCTCCCAAATGCTGGCCCTTTTCCATTTAATCTTATCACTTTACAGCTCATAAGAACAGTATATTCCCCACCTACAACTTATTTTTTCATAAAGCTTTTTTTGAGAAAGCAAAAAAGATCCATCAAGATAGAAGCAACTCAAAATTCAAGAACTTTGTACAAATCATCAAGAAAATGGGGAAGGGAGAGAATAAGGTTGTAGTTGAGCAACAAATCCAGGCCTCACATTTTCCCAAATCTGATTTGTAGTAATGATTACAGAACTATTTATTTATACTTCACAAAATGGAACACTATGAACTCAATGAGCAAATGATCAATTTTAAATTGACATTAAATGTATATAAGTTGTATATACATAATAACTCAATGAAGCTGATTTGCAAGACAGCTTAAAGCTTAAACAGTAGTCTTAAATTTATAGTAATCATAGATGCATATGTGAAGAGTATATATCCTTTACATTTACCCCTCTGAGAAAACGAGTTAAGAATTGTGACAACCAGCTTTATGCATATAATACAGGAAATTCTATGGCACCAAATGCTACTGCCCCACTCTAAAGTCCTGGCACTGTGCAGACCTCCACCATTTAGCGACTTGAGATGGAGCAGCCTGCTTTCCACACACCAGGAAAATTCCAAGTCTTAGGTTAGTCTTATATGGTAAAAAGAAAAAGGAAAAAAAAAAAAGATAATCCAATTGTCCCACCCTTTGATATTGCAAAAATGGCATTATCATCTACAAAGTTCATACTGGAAAACTGTGTGATGAAGTCACACACACAGGCCAAGGTGGTAATAACAACAGTAATAAATAACTTCAAATGAGTTTACTATTTTTGCTGAGCTGCACTCCTAGCTGTCCTAGGCAGCACTGGCCACCAGCTGCACATGGCTGAAAGGCTACATTGCAAACTTTTAAATTTACTCATCTTTACTAACAACACTTTAAATCCAAACTGACTTGGAACCACAAGTTGGCATGAGCCATGACTCCTTTTTTCAAGTGAGTTTGTTCTAACCTGATGACTGTCTACATTAACGTAGATAGATAGACAGGCAGACAGATAGATAGACAGATAGATGATAGATAGATAGATAGATAGATAGATAGATAGATAGATAGATAGATAGATAGACAGAGATAGATAGATTAGATTCATAGATATAGGTGGGTAGACAGATAAGTAGATAGATAGATTGATTGATGGATAAATGGATTTGGATGGATGGATAGATGCAAGAAGAGGCCTTGATTTTAAGAACTCGGGGGAAGATACAGGATTAAAATCATTGTGCTGACTGATGCAAAGCTGAAACCCCAGCTGTCCAGTTTCTCAGTGTCCTAACCCTGATGGCATCCATCTCTTACCCAAAGATGAGCTCAGGAGCCCACCCAAGATTTGGTCAACCAGAACTCCAGTAGTGTGCTCACTCTTCTATGCTCTAAAACTCCTCCAGATAATTCTGACACTCACTAAAACTACAAGGCCACACATTCAAAGTTTGGAAACCAGCAGGCATATGCTTTTCCAATGTTAGCACAGGCCCCTTGACTCCCTCACAAAAGTTTGAGCTGACTGCCAATCTCACTTCTTAGGTAAGACGGGATAAGTGTCAAGTGCACAAGCACATTAGTACTTGTGAGAGTGGTGTCTGTTAAGATGGAAACAGCCAAATGGAAGCCACTAGAGATGCCTCTACATGAGACAACAGTGAAGCAAAGCCATTATTGAATCCCTGGAGAGACTGTGAAAATGAGTGTCACCAGCAAGGCCACAGGGGTAGTGGCTCTAACCATATCCCCATTTAAGTCTATCTGGTGGATGTTGGAGAGGGACGGTTAATTATTGAGTTTAATCAACTGCTGAGTCTAATCACAGACTGTACAACAGCAGTTGCCTTGCTTGAACAGATTAACACATCTCTTGGCATCTTGTGGCTATTGCTCTAGCAGATTTATTTTTTGCTTCTGTCCATAAGAACCATCAGAAGCTATTTCCTTTC